ATCCCGATGATTGCAAACGCTCTCGTGGTGATGCTCAGCGCGACGTTGGGCGACGACACTCGCCTGCAGGTTCTGGTGCTCTCCGTGACCCCTCCGAGGCACCTCCGAGGCACCTCCGTGACCCCTCGCGCCTGCAGGTGTTGGTGCTCTCCCTGATTGTCGCGTCGACGATGCTCGATCCGGTGCGTGTGTCTTGCCAGACGCGCCACCCGCTGCTGAATGTCAGCCGTCACGGTGCTTGTCTTGCTTAGGAGTTCCTTGGCTTGCCTGCCAACCTCGAGGGAAACGCACTCGTCCCGTTTATGCAGTCGATGATCATCATCCACTTCACAGTCACAACAATGTTGCTCCTGTACACTCTCTGCTTCTACGTCGTCGACCGCTACTACGCCTCAGCCGTCAGCCGAGAGCAGAGCAAGTACCGCGAGGGAACCAAAGCGGTGTGGCAGCGCCACGCCGCCAACTACAACAAGTGGGTCGACGCGCTGCTTCCACCCACCGCGCTCGTCGAGGATCCAGAGAGCCCCGAGCCGCCCAAGAGCTCGCACTTCTCCGGCGCGGGCGGCGCCGAGGCCGACGGCGCCGAGGGCAAGGCGGCGCCTCCGGCGGCGTTCAACGTGCAGCGTGCAGTGCTCGAGGTTCTGCTCAGCATCCCTGCGCTCTTCCACAGGCAGGACCCCACGCGCGCACCGACCCCAGGTATGGCCGAGATCCTGCCCAAGTATGGCGAAATGCTCGACGTGCGCGGCTGCATCAATGGCCACCTCATCTGGCTCACCCCGCTGGCGTTCGCGCTGGCGTGGAGCATCGACGCGCTCATCTACTTTGCGTAGGGGTTGGGCGGTGGGCGGTGGGGGCGCCTTCCCCCGCTTTAGATGGAAAAAGAGTGTGCAATGGGATGGGCCAGGAAGAGCCCCGGCGGCCTAGTTTTGGGTCGAACGGAGGGGTTTTGCGTTAATTGATGTGGTTCTGCTGCTGCTGCTGTTACGTCTTCGGTCCCCGCGGGAAGCCCCGCGCATAGGACAACAACGTCTGTCCCACACACACACAGACGCGCACATACATCATGCTCGGGCACAGTCACCCCACAGTGTAGTGGTGTGAGCACACAAGTACTAGCAGAGTGCACACCTGCCTTGGCGGGTGAGGGTCGTAAGAATCAAAGCCTCTTGGTGCCAAACGTGCTCGAGCGCGCCGAAGAGAGACGATCTACGCTGAGGGAGTTAGCGAAAGTCGCACGGGCAGAGGGGAGACCGAGGCCTCCGGCAGTCATTGATGTGGTTCTGTATTTCTTAAATCGTCATGCCCCGCAGCACTCTCTTCTTTTTACGTGCCGATGAGTGTTCTCGTGTGCGCCAGCCCACACCCTTGTAGAGCCAGTCTTTTGGGAAACAGACAACAAGGGAGAAAGAAAGAAAGAAAGAAAACAGACAACCCAAGGGAGGGATGGGAGGACGGCACGCCGCCACCACACAGGGATTTTAAGGAGAGGTGTGTGGTGCGCTAGCCGTCGCCCACCCTAGGGAGTCTGCCTCTTCCTATCTCTCTTCGCAGTCTCTCGCCGCTTCTCGCTGCAACCTTCATGCCACCTCGCGGTTCGTCCCACTCTCGTCGTTCTCTCCCTTGTCATTTCCTCCTCTGTCGCGTCGTTCTCTTCTGCCTCGTCCTGTGACGCCGCCGCCTGCCGGTCCCTTGTTCTCGCGGCTTCTTTCGCCTTTCGGCGCAACTCCGTCCTCCTCGCGGCGTATCCTGGCCCCTCGAGTCTATCGAGCTCTCCTCGCGCAAGGACCACATTTCTGACTCCCACTCCGATCATTTGCCTACAGGTAGACAACAAGGGAATAAATAAATAAATACAAAGGACATCCCAAGCTAGGGCTGGGTCGAGGACAGACACGTCCCCACCTTTGCAGGATTTAGACAGCAAGGGAGGGATGGGAATTTCGCTTTCGTTTTCTTCTTCGACGCACACACCCTGGCCGACACACGTGTATATACGTGTGTGTATATGCGAGCAGCAGCCAAGCTCGTCGCCGCCGGCGTCGCGGCAGGCGGCGCGCGAATCGCCTGCAGCCAGGCCGGCCAGGCCAAGCCAGCAGCTTCGTCCGAGAAGCCGCGGCAGAAGGCGGAGAGCCAGCCGCGCACGATGCAGGAGCTGATGCTGCAGCTGGCGGTCAAGCACCGCCGCGTCTTTGTCTCGGGTGAGCGGCGCCACGAGCGGCCGGAATAGCACTGGAGTAGCGTGCTGCAGCAGATTGTGCGCCGTACTAGATCTGACGACCAGAGAGCCGCCGCCAGCCACGCCACGCCTCGTC